AGCATGTCTGGACCGTCGTTCAGATGGCCCGGTACGTGCGTCGCTCTGAGCGAGAGCAGGTGACTCTGGAACCACAATAGGATGCGGCGTGTCAGACGAAAGAGATTCTTGGATCTGACGCCACCCTGACGGTTGATGTATGATACCACGGCCATATTGTCGGAGCGAATCAGGACGTGGTGACCATGTATGCGCGGGAGGAAAAACAGCAGCGCGTTCTCGACCGCGATCATTTCCAGACAGTTTATGTGAAGGGAACTCTCGTGGCTTGACCACTGGCCGGCGGCCGGTGAGCCCTCGCAAACCGCACCCCAACCCGAGTTGGATGCGTCTGTCGAGATGACTTTCCGGTGAGGAAAAGTACCCCTGGTAACGCCCCTCTGAAACCACTTGATTACTGACCATGGCTGCACTGCAGTGATACATGTCTGAGTAATCTTGATCATCTGGCGGCCCGTCGTCCACTCGCGGTGGGATACGCGGCTCTTTAACCAGAGTTGAAGGGGGCGCATGTGCAGAAGACCCATCTGTAGCACAGCGGAGGCTGAAGCCATATAACCCAGCATCCTCTGAAAAGATTTCAGGGATGTGTGGGTACCCATCTGAAAGGAGGCGGCTAGGCGCTGAACACGGCGCGCGCTGTGTGGATAAGCGAGCCTTCATAGTGACAGAGTTCAAATCTATTCCAAGGAATGAAATAGTTTGACTGGGCTGGAGAGAGCTCTTTGTCCAGTTGACAGAGAGTCCCAGCGCTTCCAGATGGTTGAGGAGAACTGCGCGGTGCGACAGAAGCTCCATCTGGGAATCTGCTAGAATCAGCCAGTCGTCCAGATAATTCAGAATGCGCAGCCCCTGACTTCGCAGGGGAGCGAGCGCTGTATCCATGCACTTCGTGAACGTACGGGGTGCTAAGGATAGGCCGAACGGGAGAACGGCATATTGGTAAACTTGACCCTCGAAGGCGAAACGTAGGAATGGCCTGTGATGAGGGTTTATCTGGATCTGAAAATAGGCGTCTTTCAGGTCTAGAGAGATGAACCAGTCCCCCTGGCGGACGTGCGCGAGGAGTTTCTTGACTGTGAGCATTTTGAACGGTCTCTTCATGAGCGCTTTGTTCAAAGCCCTGAGATCTAAGATCGGCCCGAGGCCGCCGTCTTTCTTGGGAACCAGAAAATAACGGCCGTAAAACCCCGACTCGGTCATAGATGGCGGGACTCTCTCTATAGCGCCCTTCTGCAGTAGCTTGGCTATTTCTAAGCGAAGCGTGTTCATCGCAGCCGGGCTGACAGTGGATTCGAGCCGTACGCGCGAGCGTGGCGGGCGGCGACGAAACTGTAATCGATAGCCATTCTTTATTATGCTTAAAACCCACGGGGAGATGCCGGGGATGGCTTCCCACGCTTCGCAGCATGCGGCTAGCGGTTGAATGGCGATTTCGCCCTGATTGCTCCACATAGCGGGCTGGACACTGGGTGTGGGCACGCTTATAATGTGGGTGGCAACGGGACTTACACTCAGAGAGGAGTTTATGGGCCGTGTGACAGAGCGGGCAGAGGGGGGACACGCGCACGGGCTCGTGGGCGTGCTTATGTTCTCTGCTACTGGAGCGGAAAGTGCTCGCTCCGTGAGAATGGGCTCTGTGTGAGACCCGGGGCATATGGTGCTTGTGTGTATACGTGAGCACATGCTTGTGGGCACATTTTTTACACTTGAGGCTTTTATGCTCTTTTTGTGAACTCTCTGGGTAGCCGTGAAAACGGCTTTTAGTCGCTCGCAAGCGGGCAGGGAAACCGGCTTGATTGTGGCGGTGAACTCTACTGTAGTCGGCGGTGAGACGGGGACTAACAGTGGGCGAAGCTTTGACGGCGGTCCGGCCGCAGCGGGAGAGAGCCGCCTTTTTCTCAGCTGTGCTAGGCAGACTTCTGTTGATCGGGCTTCAGCGCGATCTTGGGTCGAGGCCCCCGGGGAGGAGGCTGTCTGCGGCGGCTGTCAGAGCGAGAGCGAGGGCAGCCGCCCTGTCTACGCTGGGGCTGCTGAGGCGGGCGCTGCTGTGGGGTTCTGGCAGGTGGCTCATGAGAGCGGCCTGCCGAAGAGCTAGCGCGGCGGGGCAGGAACAAGTTCATGGCCTGAGTCGCTTTCTGTACCTCGGAGAAGCGGTCAACGATGCCCGTGACGGCAGATCCGAAGAGCCCGGTCGGAGAGATAGGCGCGTTGAGGAACACGGCGCGTTCTGAATCTCCCATGTCGGTAAGCGTGAGCCATAAGTGTCTCTCAGCGACACAGAGGGCGGCCATGCATTTCCCCAGGGCTTGAGCGGCGGCTTTAGTGGCGCGAAGGGAAAGGTCCGTAGCGCTTCTCAGATCCGAGAGGATGGGCGGGTTCCTACCGCTGTTCGCCATATCGCACAAGATGTCGCTCTGGAGCACCTGAAGGACTGACATTGAATGACATTGAACACATCGGGGCGGTTACGAGCCGAGAGAGGGGCATTCCAGGACTTCGTGAGCTCATTGTGAAGCTCAGGCAGGAATGGTGCAGCCCGGCTGCAGGCGGGGGCCGGACGCCGGTGCAGGAACTTCCCATCCATGCGGTTCGGTGGTTGCTCGGGGGGAGGAGACCACTCGAGACCCAGGCGGTTGACGGCCTGCGAAAGGAGGCGCGTTAGTTCCTCCTCGATGCCGGCGCAGGTTCCCGCAGACTCTCTCGTCGATGAGCCGATCGAAGACCAATCCTCGCTGTCAGAAGCGTGCAGCGAACAGGAGTCTTTCTCATCCGCGGTGTCGTCGGCGGCGACAGAGCGGCCACTCGGCGGCAACTGAATGTCCGGCTGGGGCGGAGAGGGAGAGCGGTCGGTGGGCGGCGGTGGCGGCACACATGGATCCGCAGGGGGCTCCGGCGGCCTCTGGGAGCGGCGTTTCTTCTTCCGCGGCGAAGTGAGAGGCAGCGCGGGAGCGGTTTTGACCGCCTGCAGTCGAGCCCGCAGGGAGGACAGAGGCAGGTCCTCGCAGTGGTCGCATCCTCCGTTGGCGAGGGCGAGCTCTGCGTGTTCCACTCCGAGACAGAGAACGCAGATGGGGTGGCGGTCTCCTTCCTCGAGTGGAGAGCGGCATGAGCCGCAGGAAATTCGAGGCATCTTTAAAAAGACGCTCGGCTCTTTTAGGGAATGGAATAAAAGGATACGCGTCGGATGGCGCTAGCTTGCTGGGCAGCTGAAGGTGGCAGACGGCCGGCTTCCTCAGACTCCGGAGCTCGCTAGAAGGTGCCTTCTCGACGACGGCGGCTTCTTCCCAGGACAGCGGATGCGTGTAGCTCGCTGAATGAAAAAGAATCGACGAACTAGCCTGGGAGAGCTACCTTTATACACTGTAGCCACCCCCTTTTGGCGGGCTGTGACGCAGTGAGCGAGCGCCGTCTGCTCATTGGCCTTGGACTCAGCGCCGCTCTCCCATAGGTTCGTGCATTCTCTCTGAGCGAACCAATGAGCCGCTAGCTAGCCCGCTAATGGTCTGCCTCAGAAGAGACTGCGTTGACAATGATTACAAAATTATGGAATAATTTTTTGGCTTCAACTTCTCAGCAAAGATGAATCTTTCCCGTAGCGTAAGCTAGCTTACGCAATACGAGAGAACCTCTCATAAGAGAACAGACACCCCTCGTTGTGTTTATGCTTCTTTTTAAAATTATATTAAATAAACATAACTATATATAAAATTACATCTAAACATATGTACGTTTCGTTTCAAAGTCGGGAGGACAGTAAATTTTGAAGACTCTGCCATAATCCCGTTTTCCTCGGTTCTCCTCCGCTTTAATCTCCACAACCGGAAATGGACGAGCATCCTTGCGTCAAATGCGGAATTTATGCGTGCATATAGCCCATTGTTTGAGCAGCGCGCGTGAGCCCCCTCCCCGTCAAGCAGGCGAACACTCCCAAAAGGCAAAAGCAATCAAATAATCGAACGAGAGCAGGGAACATTAATCGTCACAGAAATAATCACACAAAAAAACATGTACCAGAAATACATTCTCTTGTTGTCACATCTTACATATCATATATTTTCTACTATTTATCTACTTATTTCTTTACAATTACATATCTCCTTTTGTAACCACCACACAAGAACCACAAAGATTGTCAATGCTCCTCCAGTAACTCCAACCGTAGGAGAAAGAGCTTTGAGGCACTTAAATTGTGTTTTTAGGTTCCTCGAGTAACCGACAGGATATTTGAGGCACCTTTAGTTTTTACAGTGTGGGTCTATTGAATAGGCCTAAGACTATAATGGTGGAATGGTGTTAAAGTGGTCATCGGATGCAAAATTTGCATTGTGTGGACAACCACCCTACAATGAAAAAAATACATTAATTTTTTTTATCCTCAAAGCCAAAACACTCAATAATCAAGCCATTTTGGAGTTTCTGAGCAATATGATGTCATATTGCTCATACTTTGCCCACGGCCGCAGACGGACTGTCCTGTATTAGCATATTTCTGCCCTTAGCCATTTGTATACTGTCAGCCAAGGCATCACTTTATGTGTCTTCGGGCGACATGCCCCACAGAAGAGAAGGGGTAAGCAATTGCTCATTATCATTTAACAGGTCACTGTGAACAGATCTGTTTTTGAGGAGCTAAAAAGAGTGTTTTACACAATCAGTGAGGAATTTTAACCAAGTTTACATGAAGAGCACGTTCCAAGACCATTGCCAGAAATGCAAGGTTAGAAATAGCCTTATATAATTAAGTCAGAAACATCACATCCAGGCTTCCTGGACTGGTGTAATGCAGCCAATTTTAATTCTAGATGAACAGTCGAGAACTCTGTGATGAATTCACAAGAAGTAATGAGGACTGATTGATGAAAGACGAAAGAACAGAAAAGGGGAGTATATAAAATAGTTGTAAATGGACTTTAAACGTTCTTAGAATAAAGTTAATGCCAAGCATTTCAAAATTCAAGACTCAGACAAGTTATAAAAAACCAATCAGTATGTTGTTGTATTTTTCAAGTACATTTATTCATGTAATCACAGTAGTGTTGAAATTCATAGGAAAAGCACAACTGTGAGTGATTTTTATACATCATAAACTAACAAAATATGTTAAAAAATTAACAGAACTTTTGCACTTCTTAAGAAACACACTTTTTGAACTAATTAGTTTAGCAAATGATTAATTAAATCACTCATAAGGTCACATCACCACTTACTGGCATAATGACATGACATGCAGAATCACCTAAAAATCTCCAACCATGGGCTCACTCGAATAATAAATTTAAATTTGAGGACTGGAGGTGCTGCTATGAAATAACATTTATATAATGATTAAAGTGGTAGCTTTAATCATTAAAAATAAAAATTCTGTCATGATTTACTCATGAGGTCCCAAACCTGTTAATGGCTTACTTCTGTGGAACATAAAAGTTATTCTGAAGAAATGTTGGTGACCAAACAGTTCTGCTGCTTAATGATTTACTTGGCATGAACAGAGAGAGGAAAAAAAAAAGATGTTTCTAAAAATATATTTTCTTATCCACAGAAGTCATAGTTGAACTATCCATTTCAGCCCTCAGAAAAATTAAATAACAGTAAAACAATCATCACCATGTTTATCACATGGGGGAAACCCATATTTTATTTCTCTATACATTTCCATTATGGACACTATATGCTTAATCTGCTTCAAAGTAGTAAGGTCAGAATTATACTGTTCTCTATAAAAAAAATACAGATTCAGATGAAGAAGTTTCCGATTCTGTGCTCAGTCTAAATGAAAGTGCATAATGTCTGCACAATGTAATAAATAATAATTCAATGAATTTATATTACCTAATTTAAAATAAATCCATTGACCCACAGATCAATGATCTACATATCTACAAAACAAAAGAAAAAAACAATGTACAAGCATGTTATTTCAGGAGATATGTTTTATAGTACAATGAACTGCCAAAATACTTTTTTGTATAATTTAATCTTGCTTTAAATGAAATCAAGCTATCACAAACAATTCTTTAAAAATACATTTAAAAAAATCTTTTCATCACAGGTTTATACATTTCCATTTTTCTCTTTTATGAAGATACATATTCTCCTGAGAAGAATTTTTTTTTTACTTTTGTCTGTGTTCTGAAGGGCTAAAGGTCGGAAGTCTAAAACAACAACATTTCAACCACTGTGTAATTATTTTCTATCATTCTATCATGTCTTTCTATATCATTCTATATCTTTCTTGTAGCACCATCATTATGACTCAAACTGTGCCTTCGTCTTTTCGTATGTTATTATTGCATCAACACATCAGCCAATTTAGATGGTTCTCTTGATCCTTTCTTTAGGGTTTTCTCTTTATATGTATCATGTTTTCTTCATGACTGAACAAAGATATTCCCATTACACTCAATTTGAACATAACCTGCTCTGTCATGATACCTAGTCTTTTGGGTGTGTCATCAAGATTTATCGCTGTAGGTGAGTCAGTGTGACATGGAGATTTCCTTATTTTCAGTGTACACCTTCCTCTTCTTTTTTTCATTTGAATTATATGCAGAAATCACATAATCTCACAATGAGGTAATAATGCAGGCCTGTCAGTCTGCATTGTTGTGTTGTATGATTGCTCACTTTTTTGTTCGTCTGAATGGAAAATCAGTAGATTGCGACTCCCTTTATTGAAACTGTATAATGTCCTTGATATCTGAAGCGAGCTCTATTGTCTTTCGCTCTTTTAGTTTCTTCTTTTTTGTCCTTTTCTGTTTGTCCTTTGTGATAACAATGTCAGTGTCATCTGAACCTAAATTATTTGTTTCTGCTGTGCTCTCTGACTGCATGCCTAATACTTGTTTTTCCAGTCCAATAATCATCAATTTGAGGAGAATTTAAATTCTGACTTTTCTTCTTGCGTTTGGCAACCTTTAATATACTTGCTGTATTACCTTCCAAATGTTCAGCTGCACTGTCATTGCTCTGCCTTTCTTCTTTGACTTGATCTTCCTGTTGCTTAAACACTCGGAGACCAGCATCAAACTGAGACAAAGAATGCACATGCAGATCAACAGATTCATAGCGAGAGACTTTAATCTCATCTCTCTTTTTTTTTTTCTTCACTGATTGTAATCTCGTTACATTAGGCGACGGACACCCAGTAATTTCCTCTGACGTCTGCGTATGCTTAGGTTGGCCAGTCTCTGGAGCTGCACTGGATTGATTCCCTTCATTTATTGTCAACTCCGCTGGTCTATCGAAGTCTAAAGTTTCGTTTGATGGGATGTCTGTAGCACTATTCCCCTCTACATATGCAGTATTTGTCTTCTCTTTGTCTTTTCTCTTCTTTTTTGTTCTTTTGAGTGTCAGCTCAGTAGTTTGTGGGCGTGGCTCACTGAACTGGACTGCCTCAACAAACTGATTTTCTACACCAGGCTGCACATGCTCTTTTAATTTGTTCATTTTCCTCTTTTTCCTCGTAGCCTTTTTGACAACATTGTTATCTGCCACTGTAGATAAAATGATTTCGTCCAAGAGCTCAGACGTCTCCTCTGATTGTAAAAGTGATGTTGCTGTTTGCTCTTTGTTTGTTACTCTATTCTCTACATCACATAATTCCCTGTTTTCTCTGCATGTTGTTTTAAGCTCAGTGACATAATCAACAGAACTCACTTTCTGACTCACATCTACATTTGTATCACATTCTATCAAAATAGCAGCACCCATTCTCTTCTTACCCTTTCTTTTTCGTTTTAGAAAGCTCATTCCAACATTTTTAAACAAAGGACTATCTGGAGAATCTGTTTCCATCTCCACCACCATTCTTTGTTTACCCACGCTAACATGTTCACCGGAACTTGAGTAAACTTCTCTTAATGGTTCATCAGCTAGTGGTAAAGGTTTAGATGATGCTTCCACAGTCACAGTCTCTATTCCTGTGACTTCAGTTTCCTCATGAGAACATGACATTGATTTTCTCCTTTTATTTTTATGTCTTGTTTTATCCTCTCTTCTTGACAGCAGTTCAGTATGTGGAACAACAGGACTCTGGCCTGGCTGTTGGAATACAGTGTGTTTGGTACTGTTGACATCTTGAATTGCAAACGGCTTGGTTGGTGTTCTTGTTCCAAACACGTACACAGATTCTCCTTTCGTCTCTATTTGAGTTATGTCACTTTCATCGTCCTCATGTGCATGATGTTCACGATCACACCATCTGGGTGTTCCTGGTCCAAATATGGACTCAAACTGTCCTTCAGCCTCTACATCCCTGTCTTGATCACTATCCTCCATGTTCGCATTAATAGAAGCGTTTTTATGAATTTGATTGTTCTTATGTTTCTTTAATGGCATGAATAAGTCCACTGAGCCAATATCACTGTCAGGCTGTTCAATTTCATTATGTACAGAAATGTCTCCCCCTTGGGGTGAAAAGAAGAAATTGCTTTTGGAATTAAGGTGATTCTCAGTTCCTGACCTCATGTCATCCTCCTGCTCCATTTGATTGACTGCCTCTGCAGAGTGTCTCTGTGTCTCTTCAATTTCCACTAAATTATTTCCATGCGAGTTCTCAGCACACTGAATGATCTGCTTATTAAGAGGTTGTCTGCAATTGGAAGAATCTGAGTCTTCAGCATCTGAACATGAAGCTAAAACCTCATGCGTCCCATGTTTTTCCTGCTCCTCAGAGAGAGAGACAGAGGAAGATTCTGATAAAGTCCTGGCTACAGCTTTGCTTTGGGGAACTTTGCGATTCTTTTTTGATTGTTTTTTAACATAAGCAGTGGTCTTGTTTTTCTTAGTAGATTTAGTTTTTCTTTTCTTCTCTTTTCCATCGACATTAAGTAAATGTTCTTCGTTGTCTTTTGAAAGTGAATCCTGAATCCTCTTCTCCCAGATGGATTGTGTAAGCCATTTTTTTTTTTCTTTACCATAACATAGAACAAAAATATTCTTATCCTGAAATAAAAGCAAAACAATAACAGATTAGCACACGGTGATATATAAATATATATGCATCACTCCGCTTGCAGCATTTCTCTCACAGCAAGTGTCACAGTGGATGAGCAAACACCTTTTTTATATAAATACTACCGTTGTTGTGTCATGGAATGTAGTTTTAAGTAGGGCTATCCTCCAATAGTCGACTAAACGTTAGTCAACTACAAGAGCCTTAGTCGACCAAGATTTTATTAGTCGCAGGAAAAAAAAAGAAAAAAACGGAACAGGAAAAAAAACCAGGAAGTGGCAATGTCGCACAGTCCATGAGGGGAAAGATCATAAATGGCAGGTCCAATAATATTCATTTTCATCTGCAGATTCATTTTCACGCACAACCATTTAGTGTTTACAAAGAATGGTGTGAAAAGGGAAAAACATCCAGTATGCGTCAGTCCTGTGGGCGAAAATGCCTTGTTGATAGGCTAGAGGTCTGATGAGAATGGGCCAACTGATTCAAGAGCAACTTTGACTGAAATAACCACAACCGAGGTATGCAGCAAAGCATTTGTGAAGCCACAAAACGTACAACCTTGAGGTGGATGGGCTACAACCAGGGGTTAAAGTGGGCCGGAACGGTCTGGAACTGCGTTCCGGCACCTCAGATAAATTAATAAATAATTAATCTCAACGAATCTCGATGCTCCCGAGTCCCGATATGGGCCGACCGACCGACCAACCTCCTTTCCTGCCCGCTGAACGCGAGCGATTGCAAATGTGTGAAATGCACTCACGGTGGTTGAGCGCGCTAAAGTTTTTGGTTTGATATATTTCGCCTGACATTTGTTTACCCTAGCCACTGTTCTAGAGGGTCTGACAAAGAGATCAATAGCATGATTAGTTTTAACATTATGTAACCATTGTATATCGACATTAAATATTCGTTCAAAATCACCTACATGCATTAATAATGCATATTTATACCTGAGAATGCTTTGACGCGTTTCCACAGCACATGACGAGGGAACGTCTGCCAATTCCACCAACTGCATTAAACGAAGCTATAATTTGTATTATTTAAAATTACTTTTCAAATTCCAAAGCTTGTAGAAGGTTCCTATTGGCAATACTGACCTGGTAGCCTTGAGTAAATTACATTGTTTAAGATAATAATTCATAAAACATGTAATTATCATTTAAGTTTACTATCTTCACTAACACAGACGAAAATGAAACGACTATCAGCTGACCTATGACCTTTAAAGGCCTACAGAGAAAATATTGTTGCTCTGAATGCACTTTCTTGTAGTAGTCCTATAAAAAATAAAAATAAAATGCACTTTGTTTTTATGAGAGAACATTTAAAACTTTGTCACACCAGTACATTATTAATTAATGTACACAGGAGTGGGGTAAAGTTAAACATTTTAGTCTGAATTTTATTTTATACTGTGCATTGTTGCAATGTGCTAAATAAATATTTGCATAATTTGTAATTGATTTATTCTTTGAAACTGTACTAAAATCAAGGCATTGCATAAATTAATATTAGAGTTTGCACACAGTCATAGCCATAAATCCAATGGTACTAATAATTGGCATAATTTCTTTCGGTGTTTCGGTTTTCGGCCTTGGTTTCCTCTTTTTCGGTGTCGGCCAAGAATTTTCATTTAGGTGCATACCTAAATATTAGTATGATGTTCATATATATATATATATATATATATATATATATATATATATATATATATAAATATAAATAATATACACAAGCCTGACTCCACCCACTGGCAATTTTTGAAAAACTGGAGATGGAGGTGACGAACCGAGGGCGAGGCTGAGCAGGGGGCGTACACCTGAGACCCGCAGTGACAGCTGCTGTCAGACTCTAAAATGGAGAGTAACTGGAGTGACGCAAGTAGCTTTGCAACAGAGCGGTCATTTGAAGTCGAGGCCTTTTCTCCCCCACCTCAACATGACATCATGACTTTTGCGTAAACATACGCCACTTTCGAGTCAAGTGGCGTGTTATCTCTACGCATTTTGAGCTATCCGCGTGTATGCGCGTGTTTGCGTGTATGTCTACGCCATTAACGTCCGCGTCATTCCGCGTGTCTGTACACGACGTCAAATCTCCAGTCATAAATGCCATTAACCCCAGTGACGTTTAAGTTTAGGGATGGGGTTGAGGTAAGTCATATCCTTTTCTTTCCTAGGATGGTAAGGGAAGAGTCATAAATGCCATTAACCCCAGTGACGGTTAGGTTTAGGGACGGGGTTGAGGTAAGTCATATATTTATATAACGTTAAGTCAACGCCGTTAATAAACACGCTGAAAAGCAATTATGCATCTTGATAGCACGCCAAAAATGGAAATACGAATTGGCGTGTCACACACGCTACTTCATGAGATTAGTCTGCCCACCTTCACCTAAAGTGGAGGAGGGTGAATTGTCTATGGATATATTAATTGGCTTTATGCACAGCTGCACTACTTCCTGAACTTCAGCCAGCTCCTTGTTTCCTGTCTGCCATTATTGGACAAACCGATTAATCCAGGTGTGTCTGACCTCAGTAGCCAGAACAACAATCAGACACACCTGGATTAATCAGTTTGTCCAATAATGGCAGACAGGAAACAAGGAGCTGGCTGAAGTTCAGGAAGTAGATTGCCAATTGTCTGTGAGCCATTATCAAGCTGCTGGCTCAAACTGCAGCCTTAACTCCCACATCGCGACCGGCATCTGATGAGTTGTTGAGTTGATGTCAATAGCGCGCGCTCTCTGTAGGCATATGTTCATATTGATATTTTGCCGCTATGTGAAAAAAATCCAGCAAAATGCATCGCGCGTTTGTCGACTCCAGAGGATTAACTTCAGCGTAACCATAAATTGTGATTAAAATATGCATAATCACTCACATCAAGTCACGAAGAAGCGCAAACATCCAATAGGATGTCAACTGCAGTAGCCACCGTTCAAAATGAAGCCTTTTTTACACCATATATCGTAGAATTAAAACACTTTATACCCAAATGTCAAAAAAGTTACTCGAATCAATGATGAGCACTAATAAAGCCCCATTCTTACAGAGCATTAACTAAAACAAAAAGTTGGTTTAGGGTTTATTTAACCCTTCAAAAGAAGTCTCTTCTGCTCACCAAGGCAGCATTTATTTGATCCGAAATACAGCAAACAGAAATATTGTGAATTTTTTTACAAATTAAAATAACTTCTATTTGAATATATTTTAAAATGCAAATTATCCCCGTGTAGGCAAAGCTGAATTTTCAGCAGCCATTACTTCTGTCTTCAGTGTCACATGATCCTAATATGCTGATTTTCTGCTCAAGAAACATTTAGGTAACACTTTATAAAAACTGCACGCTATTAATCATTTGTTAAGCATGAGTAAACAAGTTAATTCATCATTTATAAAGCATTAAATAATAAGCAGTTTATAAATACAGCTATATTTTCTTGATTTATAAGCATATCTATAATGTGTTTAATAATTGTATTTTCATACTTTGTTAATGATCAATTAATAATTTTTTTAATGAAGTATAGCATTTTTTACAAACCAGATATTTAAGAGTTGTCAGTCATCCATAAGATCACTTAGAAAGTGTAAGTAAATGTAGTAAATACAGGTAGTTATAAAGCATTTAGTAGTGGTCAGTTAACTATTTTGTGAGCTCATCTAAAGTGAGGACTATTCATGCCTTGTAAAGTATTTATAAACAAGATTTAAAGGCGCATCAATCTTCTAAACAGTAAAGCCTTTAAATCTCCTTTCTAAATGCTTTACAAGGCATGAATAGTCCTCACTTTAGATGAGCTCACAAAATAGTTAACTGACCACTACTAAATGCTTTAGAACTACCTGAATTAACCCTGAATAAAATTTCAAATCTTCCATTTATGTCCAAAATACTAGAAAAAGTTGTGTCCGCTCAATTGTGCTCTTTTTTGCAAGAAAATGATATCTATGAAAAATTCCAGTCAGGATTCAGACCGCATCATAGTACAGAAACTGCGCTAGTTAAAATTACAAATGATTTACTTTTAGCTTCTGACCAAGGCTGTATCTCAATACTAGTTCTACTTGATCTTAGCGCTGCGTTCGACACTATAGATCATAAAATACTCTTGGATCGACTACAAAACTACACTGGTGTTCTGGGACAGGCATTAAGTTGGTTTAGATCGTACTTATCGGGCCGTTCTCATTTTGTCTGTTTAAATGGGGAAAAATCAAAGATAACGTCTGTAGACTATGGAGTACCGCAAGGATCGGTTTTAGGCCCTCTGCTATTCTCAATATATATGCTGCCACTTGGTAATATTATAAGAAAACACGGAATTAACTTCCACTGTTATGCTGACGACACTCAATTATATATTTCATCACGACCAGATGAAAACACTAACTCATCTAAATTGACAGAGTATGACAGAGTGTCTCAAAGATATAAAATGCTGGATGACGCGTAATTTCCTGCTATTAAATTCAGATAAAACGGAGGTATTACTTATTGGTCCAAAAAAACTACACAAAACCTCTCACAATACAACTTTAATATAGACGGATGTCCTGTTACTTTATCCACTACAGTAAAAGACCTGGGTGTTATACTAGACCACAACTTGTCTTTCGAAAATCATATTTCATGTGTTACAAGAACAGCCTTTTTCCACCTTAGAAACATTGCTAAGCTACGTAACATGCTATCTGTTTCTGATGCAGAAAAGTTAGTTCATGCATTCATGACCTCGAGACTAGATTACTGTAATGCTTTATTAGCCGGTTGTCCTGCATCGTCAATAAACAAGCTACAGTTAGTACAAAATGCAGCTGCTAGAGTTCTTACTAGGTCAAGAAAATATGATCATATAACACCGATTTTATAATCTCTACACTGGTTACCTATTAAGTTCCATATCAACTACAAAGTACTACTACTGACCTATAAAGCCCTAAATGGTTTAGCTCCTATGTACTTAACGGACCTTCTTTCGCCCTACAATCCACGCGTTCCTTAAGATCACTAAATTCAAGGCTTCTGGTCATTCCTAGGATATCTAAGTCCACTAAAGGAGGGAGGGCGTTCTCGCATTTAGCTCCAAAACTCTGGAATAGCCTTCCCGATACGGTCTGAGGCTCTGACTCGCTGACAGTTTAAAACTAGATTAAAGACGCATCTCTTTAGTCAAGCATTCACATAATGCTTACCTTTTAGTCCTCTGTTATGCTATACGGAACCGTTTGCCACTGAAACGCATTTCCGCGACAGTGGGGCTCGACAGCCTTAGTCAAACGGGTCGGCGCGTATGGTTGGGTTGCGGTGAGTTTGTGAGATAGTGGTTTTCTAACACCGACTCCCGTATAATGGAAATCATTATGAACATCAACTATGCTAATTATCTCCCATCTGCATTTCTGCTGTTATCTCGGGACGCTTGTCCCGAGAAAAATGGCGTTCGTCAGGTCCAGTTTTGTATCCAGCCTCTCACGGGGATTTCGGATGCCCCAACGCCTGTAATGAGAAGACCAGCGCCTGTGAAGAGACGACTCAACGCCGGCGATATGTTATGGCGCCGTTTTATATATAAACAATATTTATATTTAATATTTATATATAAACAATATGAATGTAAGCCAGAGGAGAACTGGCCCCCGACTGAGCCTGGGTTCTCCCAAGGTTTTTTTTTTTTCCATCCAATCTGATGGAGTTTTGGTTCCTTGCCACTGTCGCCTTGCTTTTGGCTTGTAGTTTAGTATTTAATATTTAACAATATTATTGATCTGTGTTGTTGTACTACTTTCATGTTATCACTGTGAAGCTGCTTTGATACAATCTGTATTGTGAAAAGCACTATATAAATAAATGTGACTTGACTTACAGCGTAAATACATGTTAAATCACACTAAGTAACCGTCACTACATGTCTGAATAATAAGATGTATGAATGTACATTTAAATAGTTTAATCATTTACTTAAACGTTCCAAGTAATCTTATGAACCACTGACAACTCTTAAATAACTGGTTTATAAAAAATGCAATTCTTCATTTAGAAATGATAAATTGATCATTAATAAAGGATGAAAATTCAATTATTAAACAAATTATAGACATGCTTTTAAATCAAGAAGAAAGCATTTATAGCTGTATTTATAAACTGCTTATTAATGTCTATTAATGCTTTATGAATGATGAATTAACTGTTTACTCATGCTTAACTAATGATTATTACCGTGTAGTCATTATAAGAGTTCAAAAGAATAGCATTTATCTGAACTAGTAAAGACATTTATAATGTTGCAAAAGCTTTGTCGCTTTTGATCAATTTAGTTCGCAATTGCTAACAAGTATCGGCCAATACTGAAGCCACATTTTCAAAACTCTTCACACATTCAGCAAAACAGAAGTCAATGAGGACCAAACGGAGAATCCCCCCCAATGTTTTGAATGATATTGTATATTAGTGAGCTATTGACATTTCTTTTAGTAATAAAGTTCCAATTTGACTGATTACTTAAAAAAATTCTCAAACATGTAGATTCTACAGGAATTATTTTTTAGAAGATATCAAAACAAAAATGTGTTACACTAAAGCATATCTTTTACTATAATGTCTGCAGTAATTACATACCACTTTTGTGACTTCATGATCAATGTTGTGGTCATCCCCATCAGAATTATCATTTAGCCTGAAACAAAGTTCAAGTTTTCCATTAAAACTAATAATTTACAGTTATTAAATATTTTATTTGTTATTAATTAGAACTTACCGAGACTCCAGCATATAGGAACTGATTGCTCTTCCTGTTTTTACATAACCCTCCTTGATTTTCTTTATGCATTTGAGGAACCCTCCAATTTCTGAGTTCTAAAAAGAAATACAAAAAATAAACATGCATAAATTAAATACATTTAAATGACAGCATTATAACAACCAGTGACAGTAAAGTACTATTTTTTTTTTATTTTTCCATTTTTTTTTCTTCTAGAGACATTCATAAAACATTTAATTTCTTACCACTAAGAGTTCTCCTAAATGACAATAAAAGTTATTAGTTAAGAGTTCTCTTAAAACCTATTCACAAATCTGCTGAGACCAACAAGGAATAAAGAGAAGACTTAAAGGGCATATTGCAGGTTAGAGGACCCAACGAGTCAATGCATAGAAAAACAACGTAGGAACTAGATTTTCTTTAAAATATACGTATAAACACGCTACAGAAGCTTCTGCAGTCATTTTTGTGAGAGAATTTTACTTCCGCGCCTGAAAATGGGCGTGGCGGGCGTGACGCAATGAGCGGGAGAGCCGTCGATTCACACAACAGGAAAACAATGAATCGCATGACATTTCAGACGCTGAGGAAATACTCGTATGACGGATCAAGCCATAAAGTTATGAGCCTGCTATGCTAAAGAGATCAGGGACAGGCCAGGATAATGTCAGACAGAATGATCAGAGACACATTGAGCTGTGATGTGAGGAGAACCAGTGGAGAACAGGACAGGTGCCTTTTAGGTGAGAGACGTGCTTATAGATATACATGCTCGCTAACGATATACACTGTGCTCACAATACTGTACAGATTATTATGATCCTACAACAGGCCAGCAGACATTAGTATGTTTAGGGTAGATTTATACTATTAAATGTATAAAAACTTTACTTGAGTATATTTCTATACTAAAAGCATAGGCTATACTCAGGTAAATTTTTAATACATATTTTTCACCTAGATTATAACATAAACAGAACATTAAAGATTTGAGTATTTAAACAACCAATTTTGTTTTTCAATTATAAGTTCTATTTAGGGCATGACATGACTAAGTTACCTATATACCACTATTTGATGCCATTGGTAGTATACGACGATCAATATTCTTGCTTCGGCATACCATGATGTTGAACTCCATCATATCGGCGGGATGCTATAGTCATTTGATCTGAAGTGAACGCTACACACGACCGCGTTTTCCGAGCCGATGCCGAAGAGAAATCCCGTCTCTTCACCTGCTCAAACCGCACCAGGAACGAAAGATAGGCTATATAGCACCGTCACTTTTATTGTAATGGAAACTTGTGGACTCGATCTTGAAGTCCTGACAGGCTGGAGTTTTTGCAATCTCCACAAACACAATAATTTACCATGACGATGATAAATTAAAATCCAAAAACTAACGAAAGCACACTGACAGACGAGCGCTCTCACTGAACACCAGCCTGCTCTCCACTGAGCCGAGGCTGCGGCTACCTGATATGACGTCAAATGACGCGATGTTGAAAAAAAAAGCCGTTTTTACTAGCAGTCCAAGAAACGCTCACTTTATCTTCTAAATTAGTGCCCTTATGTTGTTTTAAAACATTTTAAATCCTGCATTAAGTTTTCATATAGTATTTTCATACAAGGTTATCTATAAATTTCAATTTTTTTTTTACCTGCAATATGCTCTTTAAGCTAAGAAAAAGGGTGAGGTTGACCTTGTCAATGCGCTTACTAACTATGACCACAGTGATTGGCTGATGGGGGAGGAGTCTATGTCAGCAATTTAATCATAGAAATATTTTAGAATGAGTTAGCCCATCATGTTGCCATATTCAAATAAAGGTTTTAAAAAACAAATGTTGAAATATTCAAATAAAGGTTTTAAAAGGTAGGCTGTCTCACTACTTAAAGTAGTATATGTTCAGCTAATTGTCAGCCTCCTACATGTCTGCATCTCGAGATGCAGAATTCAAGTGACACATTATACTTTATAAATAAAGTTTGGGAGGAGCACGTTCAAGCCGTCAATCTAATCGGCTCGAGGAGGTCGATTGCCAACAACGTCCATTAGGATTGTTTGCGATTTGGAGAGAATTCAAGAGTCCTCTTGAATACTCCTACTTTTAGCCTTAAAGGGGTCTTTGGATGCACATTTTCCACAAGTTGGTATGATTCTTTAGGTTCTTCCTGTAAAGTTAGTAACTTACTTTGAGGTATAAATTGTGTTGGTTTACACAACCATTGAAGAATTTTAACCAAAAACAGCTCTGTTCACAGCGACCCGTACGGTGCATGTCTCTTTAAATGATGAGGAACTCACCCCACCCCTCTCTTCCATGGGGAGTCAACACAAGACATGTAAAGTGCTGCCTTAGCTACCTGCCTTGGTATACAAATGGCTGAGAGTGGGAATATGCTAATACGGCACAGTCCGTCAGTGGTCGTGGGCAGAGCATGAGCAATATGACATCATATTGCTCAGAAAATCCAAACGGCTTGATTATTGGGAGCGTTTAGGCTTAGTCAATCGATACCACCACCATACAATAAAAAAACAAACTGCAAAGACAAATGTATATACAAACACCTTATAAAAGTGAAATTTGCATCCAATGACCCCTTAAAGATTTTTTGTGAATACGGCTCCAGAGACCATTTTATCAGACAGAATGTAATTTTAAACTGACATAATATACAAATATAATGCACAAAAAACATGAATAAACGCCACCTCTAGAATCTGGTGCTTCTTCATGGGCAGGTGCCGCTGTCTGTGCGATTTCAACAAAAAGGGAAAAGTAGCTTTCTGAGGGGGAACATAATCAATCCTTTTTCCTCTTTTTGGGCACAATGCATGGAGACCTTCACTTCCCTCTTGATATTCTGTGTCTTCATTTTCTGGGAGGCTGCTGGTAGCCCCCTCTCCATCATCACCAGTATCATCAGAGATGGACTCTGTTCTCTTAGTTGATCTAGAATGTTGTTGTCTTTCAGTTCGGACTGGTTTGGTCATAGACTGTGTTACAAACAGGCTTTCACCAGAGTCACTGTATAGGGAAATACAGAGAAGTGATGCAGTGCATGAGAAAACAATTACAAATGAATCATTTCAGTGAATCATTTTCAGTTTTAGCACTGAAACTTAATTTTAAAGCATGATTTTATGAGATTATTTTGAAAAACAAACCAACTTTATTAAACAGAGCTTTTAACAAAACGAACAAGCATGGGAGCCTCATTCATGTGGTGCGTTTCAAGGTGTGGGTGTAAATTAGAAGCATTACCTCTGCATGCTGTCACCTTTATGGCAGCCACAATGTTTCAACGTTCCCTATTTAAATCCAAAATATTGCCAAATAGGTGCTTTTACATGTTGCTATGAAACCAAATCTTGCACGCTTGTCTTGTCAGGTAGCTTACCTCACTCTCGTCACTTGATAAAATAAATCTGTCATCTTCTTGTCATTTGTTATTCATTACTTCAATGAGCTCATTTTTTTATAATACATTATTAGCTAAAATACTAAAAATGTAGCTATTTTGTAAATGTACATTTCTGAAATACACAACTTAAGACAGTTACCTCTGATAACAAGTCAGAGGTAAAAGCGCTACATTAATCAATGTGAATTCTTCTGATCTCAGCCTGTCGAGATTGGCAGCTAGTGGTTGAAATGGGTACTGCAATTGAATTTTTTTTTTTAATATAGACTTGCTTCACTCGCCCCCTCCTGCTCAGACTCGACGCTCAGGCGGGTTACCAGATTGAGTATATGCAACAGGAACGAGAGCAATTAACAATGGAATGCAAGGAGATTTACACACTAAGCTGATGAGTTGATTTATTGATGTATGATAAGTTATCACGTTTTAATTTGCTCCTGGTGATAGAGATTTTTAGATGGGTGTGGAGGCTTTTTAGGTTGGTGTGGAAGCTTTTTAGGTTGAGTACAATCTGTGATCACTGACCCAGTTTGTTTGTTGGCTTCCATGGCTGCAATTTGCTGTGTTTTCCGCCAACTGGCAACCTGTGGTGGTGGAATACTATTGCGTAAATTGTCAACGTGCTATATCACACAGACGTAGGGCTGGACGATATGGGCAAAATGTATATTATAATATACAGTCACCTAAAGGATTATTAGGAACACCTGTTCAATTTCTCATTAATGCAATTATCTGGTCCTGGTCAAGACAATCTCCTGCACTCCAAACTGAATGTCAGAATGGGGAAAAAATGTGATTTAAGCAATTCTGAGCATGGCATGGTTGTTGGTGCCAGACGGGCCGATGTGAGTATTTTACAAACTGGGATTTTCACGCACAACCATTTCTAGGGTTTACAAAGAATGGTGTGAAAAGGGAAAAACATCCAGTATGTGGCAGTCCTGTGGACGAAAATGCCTTGTTGATGCTAGAGGTCAGAGGAGACGGGCTGACTGATTCAAGCTGATAGAAGAGCAACTTTGCCTGAAATAACCACTCGATGAACAATTTGAGAAGGTGTAACTGTTGTGTTTGTGGAAGATTAAAAAAAAAAACAAAGTCTACAAGTTTGCAGCTCTTAAAACATTTCTCTCTGTGACTTCAAATTTGATATACATGTGTGACTATTCTCTACAACTACAAATTTCACTATCACAGGCGTTCAGTAGTTTTGCAACAAAAAAATCTTCATAAATATTGCCAACAACACATTGCGCTTGGGAGGATTAGGTTAGAACTACAAACGAGTAAGTGTTTAGATAAAGGGGTCTGAGTGACTAAAAATCAACATTTAATCTGATTAAAATATTTATTAATTTAATAATCTTATATTGAAAAAAAATCTTTAAAATAAACATGCTTAGGCCCTATACTTTAGATTGCAACTTCTTGAATCTGAATTTTTTTTTTTTCACAAATAAAGTCATTGTTTAAAAACACGAATGTGTGAATAAAAAGGAAGTAAACACTGTAACAGGGCACTCCGTAATCTGGTAATTTCACCTGCACTGATAATCTTTTTTTTAAAATACTTTTTTTTTACTATTTTTTGACAAGGTAACGCTAATTGCACATACAGCACACTGTGAAAACGACAAGAATATGACACAGTGGGCTCTGGGCAACTGGATATAGCACAGCATATATTGAAATAAAGGATTTCAAATGTTTCGATCGCGTCTCCTGTGAAGCTGAACTTCTGTTCGCATCCACTCACTGCGCACGGACCGTCACTTGCCGTCACACGTTTATGCCGGCTCACAAGATACCACAGCTGGATTCGATTAAATCTGCAAGGTTTGTGAAATTAAATGTTTATTAGATATTCAGAGATTTGTTTAAATGATGTATGCGCATTTGCATAAAGTTGACGGTAAATGAGAAAGTATTTTAGGCTGAATATTTGCCTTTTCTGATAAGGCAGGCATACACTGTGCGATGTCTGTGCGATTTCAGCAAGGTACCTACTCAGTGAGTATGTGAGTAGTACTCACACTCAACAAGTAAATCGCATGCGATGCAAAGCCAAAGTTCAGAATTTATGTGCTCATTGCAATAATTAATTGCAATGAACGAACATTGCAATAATTAATCATCAATGAAAAACAGGTTCATTTCAAAAAACATTGTTTAACAAATTAATAAATGTCAATTACATCGCAAATGGCTTGGAAGACCTGGGTATTCTGCAACACGAACTGGAGGTAAGCAACAGTAATTTGTAGCTACAGAACTTAAAGATCTCCCTCTTTTCGTTTTTATTTTAATTTTATTTTTGCTGCAAATGAAATGATTAAACTTCTGTTTTCGCGCAGGCGCAGTGAGGGAAAAACACTTGAGTTTAGGGCAACCTGTTTGTAGTTTTGCTTCAACTGTGCGATGTAGTCACGAGGAGCGACCAAAATTTTTGACCTGCCAGAAATTCATCCGACCATCCTACTGTCGATCGTCGTGAGAGGTTAATCACCTCTCGTTTCTCCCTTACACTGCACGAGCACTGCAGGACAAATGCACAACAAAACTGAAAATCGGTCCGACACGAAAAAGAGTCGCACGAGTCAGAATTATATCGTGTATATACCTGTATATATATATATATATATATATATATATCGGCTGTGCCAATATATCGGTCGACCACTAGTTTAAACTTGGCTATCCATGAAAAAACATATGCCAACATGTTTCGGCCTCTTTGGCCTTCCTCAGGGCACATTCAAAATGGCAGTCCATAGACTGCATGCTATATATCTGCATGTGGTCACATGACCTAGAAGCATTATCCGTGTTATTTCATCTGCAAAAACGTGAACTTTTCTAAAGATGCGTTTGGCAATTAAAGGATTTGTTCACTTTTAAAAAAACTTTTGCAGATAATTTATTCACCCCCATGTCATCCAGTCGAAAAGAAATGAAGGTTTTTGATAAAAACATTCCAGGATTTTTGGGTGTGAGTAAATTACCAGCAAAAGTTTTTTTTTTAAAGTGAACTAATCCTTTAAAGCTGCAGTCCGGCATTTTCCTCTGTCGCCATCTCTGTTCGAAATCTGCAATTGAAGTAATTTGCATAATTATCAACTTAACCCGAGTTGTAATTCGGCACGGCGCGGATGAACACAATTGCTGTGTCCGAAATCACCCATTACTCACTATATACTATAGTGGACTATATAGTGAGCTCGCCATTTTGTAGTGCTGTCTGAATGTATAGTGGTGATTATTATACCCTATATAGTCCACTCAATGTATCCCAGAATGCATTTTGAAAAGTAGTGTACAACCGATGGTCACTAACCTAAGCCCTACATACCATCATGCATTGCGCTGATTGTAAAAATAAGTTATAATAAAAATAAGCTCATTATAACAAAAACGGCCAGAAAATTTTGTAATGTAATGAATATAATATAATGTAATGTATTTATTTAAAAAAATATATTTAGCCCAGAGCCGGCTCGGCACCAGCTGACAGATGATGTAATCAACGGCACCGAGAGACGATATAGTAGTGTCCGAAAGTGTTCTATTATGCTGGTGAGCTCACTACATTTGCTCTGCTCTCTACCCCATATATAGGGGGTAGGGAGTACCGGTTTGAGTGGAGATTTCGGACGCAGCAAATGTTTGAGGAGAGTGTGCAGATGTCAATCACTGCACCGTTGTGGATACTGGCATTCAGAATCACATAATTATTTTTGGAAGTCTGACCAACATAATTTAATTTCACCGGAAAATGTCATCTGAACAAGTAACAACCACTTTTGTTGTGGTTCTCTGACATTGCAGTAAATCGCACTGATTAAATCTAAAAATCACTTATCATTAGGGTTGTGAATTTCTGCCAAAAATGCCATTCGAAAATCAAGGAGCAAGAGTCGATTATCGAAAAAAAGCACCCTTAAAATGACAGAAAGGGAGGCTACAGGTAAATTTCACCTTTAGTGATTTGTCAAACAAACTGTTTATTTATTGAACAAGTAACATGTTTTAGTTGTATTTTTAACATAGCGGTAGTTAACATGGAAGAAAAAAACAAAAAGCACGACAGACCGTTTTTGCATCACCAAACCAGATGCTCGTTAAATAAAAATATAATGTCATATGTCATAATGATTTTATGTGAACCTGCCTTGTTACTGCAATAGCCTACTTTTTAAACAAATTAGTTTCAATCAAAACTATTTGTGTGATGCCACTGCGCAATACACGCACATTACCATGGGATAGCGGGTGTTCATTTCATAAACTGTGGACAATGGTAGCCTAGCTTATTTAATGTAGCCTTTAAATTAATGTAGCCTATATGTCCAAACAACGGATAATGTCATCATATTTGTTGTAGTGCTATCATCACGTCGTAATAATCTGCAAATGCATCATATTTTTGCCAGCGATGAAGATCTAGTTTAACTCTTCGTATGCCGTTTGTGAATGAATGCTTCCACAGGACGATACATTCGAGTTCATTTCATTCAGATAATACATTTTACTTTGATTTGTAGCGTTTTACAGAGCGTTTTCTTTTCCCTGTTAACATCCGCTCTTTCGACATGTATGTGAA